TTATGACCCACCATAAGACAAATTCTCAAAGCTTGTTGCCTTTGATAAAAAAATTTCAAGTGCTAGGAATACAAACATGTACACCTACTATCATTATACAATTGATTAAAAATAAAATTTTAAATTTTAAAGTAATTGTATTATTATACCTGGTATAACGATCGTGTGCCCAGCACACTGAAAAATCTCTCGCCCTTGACCCCACGAATTTTAATACAAAAACAAGATGATACTCCTTTTTTATGTTCTTCATGAATTGGAATTGACTTGAATAAAATTTTTAACCCTTTACTCCTAGAAGAGTACCCCAAGAAAATAATTTGTAAACTGCAATTTGCTAAGATTACACCTTGATGCATGTTAATAATGATAAAGAACTGCAATTTGCTAAGAAAATAAAATGACCCTAATATTTGTAAACTGTTTCTTGTACAACCCATGTTGAGAAGGAAGACTCGTACAAATGGTCTCAAATATAGAGTAGTGAAAGTAAATTTGTTTAATCACTTGAATTGCAAGTCTGTAAATAACAATGAAAAAGAATATCATCATAAAACCGCGTTTTTTGTTGGAAGTTTTCCCACCCAATAGTTGACTATGCAGATATAGGATCTAAAGAGCAAACACGAATCGCTAGCTTAGCTTAGATTGTTAGTTGATACGCTTGTATCAATGTTCACGGACATGGACATCAATGGAGTGTTAGATATATATATATATATATATGTGTGTGTGTGTGTGTGTGTATCATGAGGAAATAGAAATTGAGAGAACATAAGTTTTAAATAGTCAAACAAGTTGCAGTAGAAGCTACTGAATTGGTATGCAACAGGTCAACCATCTACCAATCGCAGAAGACTGGTAGTTTGAACTTTAAGGGGAGGGTCAGATGCAACAATTTTGGGATACTCAGGTCGCACCACAATGGAAGCCACTAGGAATAGCCTAGTGGTGTGGGTGAGGGTGTGGGTAAGGGGTGGGATAGATTAGGTCCCAGGATCGAGGCCTGGTGTGGGTGGGGTGGAAATTTTTTTTAAAAAAAAAAAAAGAAAGAAAAGAAAAGAAAAAAAAAAGGTCACACCATAATGGTCCTCAACAGTTAGGAGACAACAACTATTGTTAGGGCTAAACGGCCCATTTAGAATTCAATGTCAGTTAAAATCAGGCCACATACCCAATACCAAGGTAGGCTTCTGTTTCCTTCCCTTCCAGTTTGCTGGAGCTCCAACTCCACCTGGCTGAATTCTTCAAAAATTATTATAGGATAGTAGAAATAAAATGCTTCCATGTGCCTCGACAAAGGGATCAAATGCCCTGTGTTTGAGTGAGGGACTTTAGTCCCAAGGAATATAGGTTAAATAAGGAAGAAATAGACTAAAACGACAGGATTAAAAAAGTACTGCATAATTATTATGAAGATATATATGTGTGCGTAATTCTCATGGGTTGCATTTGTAATACCCTTTGGCAAAGTTTGGGTAAGGGATTTCCAAGTCATGGGATTGAAAGCCAAATTGTAAAGAGAATGATCACAAAATGTTGGATATAATGGATTACGAAATGTACCGTACGTAGAACATTACAAAGACATGTAAGAGAGATTTGTAAATGATATATTCCACGAATGGATTAGCTAATCCTTCCTATCCAACATTTTGTGATCTTTTTCTTTATAATTTGGCTTTTAATCTTATAACTTGAAAATCCCTTGTGCAAACATAGCATTTATGTAATGGTTCATAGTTTTGTTCTTTATAATTTGCCTTAATGCCTTGATACTTTGTAAGTCCCTCATCCAAACACAACCCAACCCAACTAATTTTATAGCTCATATTAAAAGACATGAAGTTTGTGAACCACATGTTTAGAGGAGGTGCTCGTGAAAATATTTAGGCTTTTTATCAACAAAAAGAAAAGTTAGGATTTTAATTGTTGTAATATTTATTGTACATCTATAAACAATATATGCTTTTAGAAGCGAAGATGTAAGTTAAGTTATATAGGGTCTCAGAAAACGAGGCGTAAGCCTTGAGGCGGTGAGGGGTAAACATGTCGTGTCCTTGCTCTATTATGAAAAAAAGTAATGTTAAGAAGACCAAAATTCTAAAAGTAATGCTAGGGAGGCTAAATCTGTAAACAAATTTTGTAAACTAAATGATGTTTCACCAATAAGAAATGAAAATATTTATCAACACTTAAGTATTAATCCAATTATCAACTTCCATGTCACTTGGTCTAAAAAAATTTATTACAAAATTTGTCTCCCTATCATTACTCAATTTCTAAATCAAATTTTGTAAACCACATGACGTGAATGTTGCTGATTGAATTATGGTTTTGTGTTGATTAATGTGTTTATTTTTTATTGGTGACATATCATTTAATTTAAAATTTTGGTCTCCTAGCATTGTCCTAGCTATGATAAAATATACGAGATGTCATAGAGGGAGATAGGGTGCAATAAGCCATTGGCCAGGTGTGTGAGCCATCTTTTATCTTAAATAATTAGAACGACCATGTTGATGTTATCCAGCGGTCAGCATATGATTAACATGCATATATGCATCTAGGGCGTATACTCCACTGATTTCGTTTTATTCTCCATGCATGATTCTGCAGGAAGCTCACACGACGATCGCATCAGAAATGTTGGGAGGGAGGCTGATTGAAAGTAATCAACAAAATCTTGTTCCACAGATGATCAAGTCTACACATTGAAGAATTATATCATGTTCTGCTACGAGTAAGTGACTTTCATCCTTGACATGTATGCATATTGCATAATATTGCACGATGACTTAATTATATAGCTTCTCGATTAATTGGGGTTTGCTGAGAACCTACATATATCGTGTGTGGACTTAACATACTGCGTACTAATTCTATCTAAACACAATCTGCATACCAAATGTTCTAGAACACCCCAAAAATACACTGTTCTCGAAATGTTCATGCTGCAAACCATTTACCATTTAGCATTTTTACTACGATAGAGATATTTCAGTACCACAGAATAATTCTCAAATATATATGAGTGTTGCTTTAACAAATACCATCTTTGCCTATCAATATACCCTCGACCCCTCAAACTCATGGCAATTTAATTGTCACTTTATATTTAACTCCCTATGTTATAGGCTTTGAGAATCGTCAACCTGTGTTTTCTGAATGCCATTTTTGTTTCCTATAGCTTCCATCTTTAGTTCTCTCTGTTACCTTCACGATACCTACTTCACTCAAACACGTAGATGAATACGGGATAGATTACGATGTTACACTAATGCCCAAAAATACATGCACACTGTTTCAAATAGACAAATGGCTACAAAAATGCATACCAGAATAGAAAACTGACGAATTATTCATAAAGTAGTTGATCACAAGGTTATATATGCTAAGTTCCTTTTCATATTGGTATGTGGCCTGGCCTGTGGTAATTGGCCTACGGCCACAGCTATCAGTGGTTTTAGGAATCAGTAACAGTGGCTTAATTAACCCCAGATTTTTCGTAGTATAACTAGCTTGAGTTTAAAGTTATAAATACGGTTAGAACTTCAAGCCTTTAATCAAATTAATGTCTTCTAAGGTGTATATGTATGAATAGGTTTGAGTACTTATGTTCAAATTAAACGGTTATTCACCTTCTACTAACAGAAAGCAAGAATACGTGCTCACTACTTAAGTTTGCACCAAAACATATTTCTAACTAATACCATGCATTGATCTTTCATATATAAGAACTTTTTAATCTTTCTCTTTCTCTTGTTCATTTTACATCAGTAGTTGTGTCTATAACCTTGATACATTGTTGCAATATTCCCTACCCTATCCGTTTAAGTTTTTGGAGCTAGTCGTGTATAGGGAAATGATAAACACTACTATGTTTCGTGTTTTTGTTATCGCCTCAAATGTTTTTGATGATGTAGATTGTGAATGTGACATCTTAATTTCTACAATGATTATAACCTTTTATGCACGCAAGATCTTTGCCCTGTAACGTATTTTGGAATCATATCTAGCTTTATTTACTCATTTTTCATACTTACCCTCAACGATCAATTTGTTTAAAATATGGTTGTAGAACTAGTCTTTTATCTCCCAGATGTATCATATGCTACATGTAATAAGATTTCAGAAAGATGTCAAATATTTACCACGCTTGTGCACAAAATGAAAGCAGATATACCAAAAAACATTAGTACAAGATTTATTTGGGATTTAAGAAAAGAAGATTTTTATATGTTCATGTCATCTATATATGTATATCTGATTGTCATATATCATTAGTTTCTAGTTAGTATATATATGAGATATAAACATCAAAGAATAGATTAAGTCCCAATATTGATCATGAATGTAAAGTGAAAGCTTCAATGTTTTAAGAACTTTCGGGATATTTTGCACCTTCTTCTTCATTGAATTAACATGTCGATCCCCCTCCATGAACTTGTGCATGCGGTGAATATCACACTTTAGAAAGAATGAACAGATATATAATTTCCTTCCATGAAGATTAACTTTAATTAAGCATCTTACACTGTATGGATGTATGCATGCAAAGTGTTTAAATTATAACCACGGGTCTTTTTTGTGCATTTGTCATCCTTACAAACCCTATATATGTATGCAAAGTGATAAATGTGGTAGATGTATTAAACATGAAATTGATTCACGCATAAATTACTCTATATACTTCTAAATACAAATTAATTAACATTGATCAAATTTATGTTTGTTTTACAATACCGGTAACATATATAGATAGATAGATGATATTACAAACGTGATCGACAATACATTGATATACGCCCCCATTCGTAGAGCGATGTTGGGGTAGTCGAATAATTAAGAATAGAGATAGCACACACAAAATCACATTTCATATGATATTTCAAACCCTAGCTAGGACTAATTTCTACATATAAATTAACTAATTAAGCAACCGCATTGCTTGTTCAACATGCACAGTGCGACTGATCAATCAAACAGGTGGCTAGCTGCTACTCCGTTTGATCATTAACGCTCTGGTGATCATTTTGGATGAAAGCAGAAGACATGAGCACAGCAGACTCCCAGCCAAATGTTGATGGCGCCGTAGTACTAGTCATAGTAATCAAAGGAAGGTTCTCGGAACGAGCAGCAGCTGCGTGTGCACTAACATTCCCATTCTGCAGTACTTGTTGCAATTGGTGTTGTCCAGGAAATGGATCCTCATTGATCAACGAATTCAGAAACGAAGAGAAGACGTCGTCCTCTTCATTTCCTCCTCCCCCAAGTAGTACTCCACCGTGGCTGTTGTTGCTCCTCAAACTCAAAGTACCCGTTGCCGCGGCCGAAGAAGAAGCATCGGGATTGTTGATGGACGTGATCATATTTGCAAAGCCATTGACTATAGTGCCCAGATCATGATCAGCAATTGCGATGTTTCCATCATTACGGCTGTTATTTGGATCCCCTTCTTTATGGACAAGACGATCAGAAGGGGGACTAGGGTTAGGGTTTGAGAACCGATCATTGGCTTTGGAAGAAGAAGCAACAGCAGTTGATTTGTTTGTGTTGTCCACGTCAACATCATCAGCAGCAGAGTGATGATCTGAATTGAGAGGCTTGTGGGTTCTGGGATCTATGCCTTGGCTTATCAGCTTCTTGCTCAGGTGTGTGTTCCAGTAGTTCTTTATCTCATTGTCCGTACGGCCTGGAATCCTCCCAGCTATCAAAGACCACCTGCACACATCCAAATTAATTAAACCCTAAATTTTATATAATGGATATCAACAGTGAAACCCTAAACCCAAACTTGTAATAAAATGGTGATAAATTTGTAGGGTGGATATATGGATATTGTTTGTCGAAGAAAATCGCGACAAATTAGTTTCTCTGAAATCTAACAAATGTTGTGTGTGTGTAAATGTACCGATTGCCCAGAAGGCGATGGAGGCGAAGGATGAGATCTTCTTCATCGGGGGCGATCTGGCCGCGCTTGACAGAGGGGCGGAGATAGTTCATCCAGCGGAGGCGGCAGCTCTTACCGCAGCGGAGCAACCCAGCCCGCTTGGGAAGGGTCCGCCACCGTCCCTCCCCTTCTTTCTTGATGTAATTTGCCAGCAGCTCGTCCTCTTCGGGAGTCCAAGGCCCTCTCTTCAAACCCACCTTTGCGCAACACGGCGTCTTGGTCCCTCCAGCAACCCCAGCCGCCTTGCTCGACGAGGACGACGCTGTTATCGTCGTTTGCATCTTAGCACTTGCTGCTGCTGCTGCTTTCGACGAAGACGATGGGTTCCTCATTGTAAAGCTTTTTCAGTGTTTTTTTTTTCTTCTGAGTAGGAGTGGATCGAATGCGAATACAAATGGAGGTTTGATATCTTGAGAACCTGATCTTGTTTTTCTTACTTCTGTGAGGTTTTAAGATGCTGCGTTTGTGTGTAGGTAGATTTTAGTTTTGCATCTTTAATTTGTTTGGTAGTGAGGATGGGGGATGAGAGATAGAGAGAGAGAGAGAGAGAGAGAGAGAGAGAGAGAGAGAGAGAGAGAGAGAGAGAGAGAGATGAGAGATGGGGAGCCGTAACACACAGTGCTGGGTTTTGTTGTAATAATATTCTAATAGGCAGCTAAATATACTCTCACGCACCACTCTATTGCTTTAACACCACTCGCATTATCAGTGCCATATTAATTGTGGGGGTAGCTGAGTGATATTCTTTGGCTCCACTCTCTCTCACAAACACAAATATCACTGTCTGCTGCTTTTGGTTAATTAAGCCTCACGTGTTGAGGGGGTAGCTGAGTGATTTGTTGTTGAACCGAATGAATGAGTCGATGAGTCTCAGGGTTGGTTTAGTATTACTATACTTTGAAAAAAAACTACTTCTGCTATACTGTAAGAATAAGTTCATTTTTGCTACTTCACGTTATCAGCTTTTTTTTTATTCAAAACTGTGAAAATAAACTATTTTTATGTGTTTACCAAACATCTTTTTTAATTCAGTTTTTTTTATACCCATATTTTTTATAAAATCACATCATTACCAAACCAAGACTCACTACGTGATCACCTTCCTAAAAATGATAATATTAAGTAGACCAAATTTAAACAAATTTGTAAACCAAATGATGTTTCACTAATAGAAAATAAGAATGTTAATCAACAACAGTTAAGTAATAATTAAATTATTAACAACCATTTACAAAATTTAGTTTAAAATTTTATTCTCAACTTAGTGCACTCACAATGTTTTTACTTTTATTGTTTCATAGTATTGGAGTTCTTACATTTAATGTATATCTAATAGTTTTGCATAGTTTTTATATTTATAATTTTCTTATCCGTTGAATTATGAAAAAATAATAGTGACTTGTGCACTTATATGACGACTTTCAGTCATTGATTTCAATCAATTTACTCACTTTTTGAACAGAAAACCTCAAATTCATGAGTTAATCATCTTAATTACTTACTAACATTCAACCTTTTGCTTTTTTGTTTATACTTTCAGACTAACCTTAGTTGAATGCGCGTGGGAGTGTGGGAGTTCGTATCATGAAGTGAAGCAGCAAAGGACAGCGAGGATGGTTCAAGGTGGGACCCGGAGAGCACTCAGCCACCTTTTTCTTTTATTTTCTATATTATTTTTTCAGAAGAAAATTTTAAATAAAAATTATAACCAGCCAGTGCCACTCTCAAGTCTTCGCATAATCAACGATCTGGATTTTTCTCTGTTCACGATTAAATCATGCACCGCATACACACCTGATCCCAACCCCCAATCAAGAGACAGAGACGCTGAGACTTGCTGCTTCCCACTCCCCAGCAAAACTTTGAGAAATGATGGATCTGAGATCAAGTTTCTCTACCTTCACGGATGAAATTTAAAGTTGATGGGTCGCATTTATAGTAAAAAAAATCATCTCAAAACAAAGGATAATACTTGGATGCAATCACAACCCAAGAGTTATCCCGAAAGCCAAACCATTTACTCATTTACAAACGCTACTGTATAAATTCATGTTGGCAATGTTTCTAATCTCAGGTGCTTGGATTTCTGCTCCGAGTTGAAGCATCTCGCACTTTTTTAGAAACCTTTAGAAAGTGCGAGATGCTTCAACTCAGAGCATAATCAATCTAGTTAAAGAGGCGCACCATCAATACTAGTACCACCTCCTTAATTAACGTCTTATCCACAATTGAATCGGTAAATAACAAGCAAACGGTGGTAGAATCATTCAAAATATACTTTTTATAAATTTTAAGCCATCTGGTGATTGTTGTTATACAGTCGGAGAAACAAACTAAGAATATGGGTGTCTTGAACGTAAGAAATGTTATTTGAGACAAAAACACCACCACCATATAATCACTCGTCTTTGAGCTGTTGCATTAAATTTTTGCAGCAAGAATGCTTTTGGATCCATTTGACCAAGAGGCGTCCCGATACCTGGCAAGATATTCAACATGCTTTCAAGTACTGGGAAGAGATCATTCAAACTCATGAAATTTGGAAATTCAAACTGGCCGAGGAAATTCTCTGTTCCCTCGAAAGTGATAGATCACACTCTTCAGCCAGAAGCCTGAATAACAAAACAAAATCCAGTGATATGTACGGTCTTCCACATATTCTCCTTAAGTTTGAAAGCAGAAAAACGCAAAATTGAAATGCCATGCAAGATGGAGATGAAAATTAATACATTTTCAGTAATTATACAAGTGCTTAATTAGTTGATAAGCCTGAAAAAGGGAAGCTTGACCATAATAATTCTGGTAACACCGCATAATCATGGTCTTTATTCTTCAGGGTAGAAGTAGTGATGGTCTAGTAATAACAAAAGAGCCATCCTACTATGCAGCTCCTATATAATTAGTTCACCAACGATTCTTCTACTTAATTATAACCAACGTAAACACCAGTGTCTAGGCAGGTTCTAACATTTTTGGCAAGACACTTTTCATAATTGCTTATCACATAGATGCATAACTGCTTAAAACTCGAAAGTAAAAAAATTGATCATACCCCACACTGTGGTCTACATGACCTCCATTTGGGTAAAGACGAAGTACCCCACACGGTGAGGACATATCATCATGAAACTACATAGAAGAATGAATAAACAAATACTATAAAGCTATACAAAGATGCTCTACATACAAAAAAACTTTAGGCCAGAAGAAGAAAGTACCACAAGCACACGATTGAGAGAGAGCTTATAATAAGCAGCAAGGGGGTCCTGTCTGTAGTTTAACAAAAGAGAGGTACAAGTTAAACCATGCACTGATATCTCTTCTAGTCACATTAGTCACATAACCAGTAGCATTAATAGCTCTAAGCCTCTAACATACAAAAGTGAAGTAGTTAAATTCAAGAAGGAATTGCGAATGGGTTTGGAAGTGTGCTAGCAGGAATGAAATGCACAGAACAAATACCATCTCAGTATATTCATTGAAATCCCAGTGGCAATAATAAACATAAATAGCAAGGCTAGATAAATGAATAACCTTTCCAAATAGAAGTACAACAACATAATTCCGTCAGATGTTAAAAGAAAGTATATCGGTCATTTACAGATTCACCTCTCAAATTCATTTCAATTTGAGGCTTTGCAAGAAAAACCAGAACTTCACCCACGAAACCTGAAATAACAAGCTTCCCTGAACTTCACAAACAAACACGAAAAATGACAATAAACAAAGTAACATCCGCGAAGATTTACATGCCTTGCCCAAGTATAGCTTTGCACTGGACCGTGTTCAATGCAATGCCCTGCGAACCAGCAAACGCATCAATCATCTAAAACCCCGCCTGCTTCAAACAAAAAAACGAGAATCTGAAACTTGTTATCGAAACAACAAACACAAAAACTAAAAATCTCAAATTGTAGCCACTAAAAGTATAATCTGGAATAGTACATTGTGCCTAGTTCCTTGGTACTTATCGCCGGGATTGCCCAAACCTACAAATAGCCATGGCCTCGGAGCAGCAGTGCAAAAGCAACAGCCGACTTAACCGATTAAGCATCTTCCCCCTCAGACTCAGTGCCTCCCACTACACCTCAGCACCATAATTCATCTAAAAAAATGAACTGGAAACTCGAAAGTCTCCAACCCACCTGCCACTCGCAACTTTTCACAAACAGTTACACTGCATTCGAAATGTAAACAGCGAGTGAACTACTTAACGGAGTGTAAAATTACTAAAATTTTTGGAGACACAACGGAAACAAAGCCAAAGACAAGAGGCGTATTGCAGAATGCAAAGCATATACTTGTCAAGTTTGAGATTAATACCTTGCCTCGCATAACCGGTGAGAGCGTCAGAGAGAAGGTGCGGGCTTTGGCTCTGGACGTTTTGGTGCTCTGACGAGCAACCACGGCGGCGTACCGGCGGTGGTGAATTTCGTGAGACAGTCGTCGAGACTGCTAAAGTCACGGTTGCTGAAGGCCCAAGCGCACTCGTTCTCTTCGGAGTTTCTGTTTATACTCCGACTGTTACTCTTCCCGCCCACAATTTTTTATTTTTTTATTTTTTGGTGAGAAAAGGTCACATGCCCCACCCACTAAATTAAAAGAAAATTACTTTTCCACTATGCCCTGTATTTGTTTGTAAAATTATTTTCGAACCATTTTTATCTTCTTGCACGTTACTTTTTATTTTTAACAACTAAATTGAATAAATTATAAAAAATAAAAGTCAAGATTAAGAGATGTGTGAAAGATTACGTAGATTGTGTGCTTATCATTTATTTTTCTTTTGTTGGATGCATATGTCCTTTATTGAATTGACCATAAAAGACGCCAAATATTTAAAATGACAAATAAAAATTTAGCTCTCCTTTGGTACGTGGAGTGGTGTTGATTCGTTTAGTCGAATAACTTTTTATTTGAGCAATGTTGCATACATTAATATGTGCATTAAATAGTATATAATATATTATATGATTATACTAGCTTCATTATACTCACTAAGCCGCTCGCTTTAGGCATTTTTTTTATTCACTTGGGCTACGCACTCTTAGAGGTGTTATCGTAGTTGTTTTCTATTATTGTATTTTTCAAGGGATTTATTTTGTGTATTGTATGCAAATGCAGAGGATTTTTCTTTATGATGCATGATAATCTCACCAAATTTATTGGACGTAATGTTAAAATTGAATCGTGATCACGATCACAATCCATACCTTCAAAGGAATTAGATTAGGCGTTATATTGTTATAAGTGATTGATTTGTATTTTCCCTTCCATAGCTGTACAATTGACTTGTAGGAATGAAAATTAAGTTTTTAGCCATTTTTACACT